AACCTGTACGTGTAGTGAGGTGGTGGCTGTTATAACCTGTACGTGTAGTGAGGTGGTGGCTGTTATAACCTGTACGTGTAGTGAGGTGGTGGCTGTTATAACCTGTACGTGTAGTGAGGGTGGTGGCTGTTATAACCTGTACGTGTAGTGAGGTGGTGGCTGTTATAACCTGTACGTGTAGTGAGGTGGTGGCTGTTATAACCTGTACGTGTAGTGAGGTGGTGGCTGTTATAACCTGTACGTGTGGTGAGGTGGTGGCTGTTATAACCTGTACGTGTAGTGAGGGTGTGGCTGTTATAACCTGTACGTGTAGTGATGGTGTGGCTGTTATAACCTGTACGTGTGGTGATGGTGGCTGTTATAACCTGTACGTGTGGTGAGGTGGTGGCTGTTATAACCTGTACGTGTAGTGATGGTGTGGCTGTTATAACCTGTACGTGTAGTGAGGGTGTGGCTGTTATAACCTGTACGTGTGGTGAGGTGTGTGGCTGTTATAACCTGTACGTGTAGTGAGGTGTGGCTGTTATAAGTGAGGGGTGTGGCTGTACGTGTAGCGAGGTGGTGGCTGTTATAACCTGTACGTGTGGTGAGGGGTGTGGCTGTTATAACCTGTGCGTGTGTAGTGAGGTGTGTGGCTGTTATAACCTGTACGTGTGGTGAGGTGGTGGCTGTTATAACCTGTACGTGTAGTGAGGTGGTGGCTGTTATAACCTGTACGTGTGGTGAGGTGGTGGCTGTTATAACCTGTACGTGTGGCGAGGTGGTGGCTGTTATAACCTGTACGTGTAGTGAGGTGGTGGCTGTTATAACCTGTACATGTAGTGAGGGTGTGGCTGTTATAACCTGTACGTGTGGTGAGGTGGTGGCTGTTATAACCTGTACGTGTAGTGAGGGTGTGGCTGTTATAACCTGTACGTGTAGTGATGGTGTGGCTGTTATAACCTGTACGTGTAGTGATGGTCAGGCTGTTATAACCTGTACGTGTGGTGAGGGTGTGGCTGTTATAACCTGTACGTGTAGTGATGGTGTGGCTGTTATAACCTGTCACGTGTGGTGAGGGGTGTGGCTGTTGTAACCTGTACGTGTATTGAGGTTGTGGCTGTTATAACCTGTACGTGTAGCGATGGTGGTGGCTGTTATAACCTGTACGTGTGGTGAGGGTGTGGCTGTTATAACCTGTGCGTGTAGTGAGGGGTGTGGCTGTTATAACCTGTACGTGTGGTGAGGTGGTGGCTGTTATAACCTGTACGTGTGGTGAGGGGGTGTCTGTTATAACCTGTACGTGTGGTGAGGGTGTGGCTGTTATAACCTGTACGTGTAGTGAGGGTGGTGGCTGTTATAACCTGTACGTGTGGTGAGGTGGTGGCTGTTATAACCTGTACGTGTGGTGAGGTGGTGGCTGTTATAACCTGTACGTGTAGTGAGGTGGTGGCTGTTATAACCTGTACGTGTAGTGAGGTGGTGGCTGTTATAACCTGTACGTGTAGTGAGGTGGTGGCTGTTATAACCTGTACGTGTAGTGAGGTGGTGGCTGTTATAACCTGTACGTGTAGTGAGGTGGTGGCTGTTATAACCTGTACGTGTAGTGAGGTGGTGGCTGTTATAACCTGTACGTGTAGTGAGGTGGTGGCTGTTATAACCTGTACGTGTAGTGAGGTGGTGGCTGTTATAACCTGTACGTGTAGTGAGGTGGTGGCTGTTATAACCTGTACGTGTAGTGAGGTGGTGGCTGTTATAACCTGTACGTGTAGTGAGGTGGTGGCTGTTATAACCTGTACGTGTAGTGAGGTGGTGGCTGTTATAACCTGTACGTGTAGTGAGGTGGTGGCTGTTATAACCTGTACGTGTAGTGAGGTGGTGGCTGTTATAACCTGTACGTGTAGTGAGGTGGTGGCTGTTATAACCTGTACGTGTGGTGAGGTGGTGGCTGTTATAACCTGTACGTGGAGGTGGTGGCTGTTATAACCTGTACGTGTAGTGAGGTGGTGGCTGTTATAACCTGTACGTGTAGTGAGGTGGTGGCTGTTATAACCTGTACGTGTAGTGAGGTGGTGGCTGTTATAACCTGTACGTGTAGTGAGGTGGCTGTTATAGGTGTGTAATTGAGGGTGGCTGTTATAACCTGTACGTGTAGTGATGGTGTGGCTGTTATAACCTGTACGTGTGGTGAGGTGGTGGCTGTTATAACCTGTACGTGTAGTGATGGTGTGGCTGTTATAACCTGTACGTGTAGTGAGGGTGTGGCTGTTATAACCTGTACGTGTAGTGAGGGTGTGGCTGTTATAACCTGTACGTGTGGTGAGGGTGTGGCTGTTATAACCTGTACGTGTAGTGAGGTGGTGGCTGTTATAACCGTGTGCGGCGATGGTGGTGGCTGTTATAACCTGTACGTGTGTGAGGGTGTGGCTGTTATAACCTGTGCGTGTAGTGAGGTGTGGCTGTTATAACCTGTACGTGTGGTAACCTGTTATAACCTGTACGTGTAGTGAGGTGGTGGCTGTTATAACCTGTACGTGTGGTGAGGGTGTGGCTGTTATAACCTGTACGTGTGGTGAGGTGGTGGCTGTTATAACCTGTACGTGTAGTGAGGGTGGTGGCTGTTATAACCTGTACATGTAGTGAGGGTGTGGCTGTTATAACCTGTACGTGTGGTGAGGTGGTGGCTGTTATAACCTGTACGTGTAGTGAGGGTGTGGCTGTTATAACCTGTACGTGTAGTGATGGTGTGGCTGTTATAACCTGTACGTGTAGTGATGGTCAGGCTGTTATAACCTGTACGTGTGGTGAGGGTGTGGCTGTTATAACCTGTACGTGTAGTGATGGTGTGGCTGTTATAACCTGAACGTGTAGTGAGGGTGTGGCTGTTATAACCTGTACGTGTAGTGAGGGTGTGGCTGTTATAACCTGTACGTGTAGCGATGGTGGTGGCTGTTATAACCTGTACGTGTGGTGAGGGTGTGGCTGTTATAACTAGTGCGTGTAGTGAGGGTGTGGCTGTTATAACCTGTACGTGTGGTGAGGTGGTGGCTGTTATAACCTGTACGTGTGGTGAGGTGGTGGCTGTTATAACCTGTACGTGTGGTGAGGTGTGTGGCTGTTATAACCTGTACGTGTAGTGAGGGTGGTGGCTGTTATAACCTGTACGTGTGGTGAGGTGGTGGCTGTTATAACCTGTACGTGTGGTGAGGTGGTGGCTGTTATAACCTGTACGTGTAGTGAGGTGGTGGCTGTTATAACCTGTACGTGTAGTGAGGTGGTGGCTGTTATAACCTGTACGTGTAGTGAGGTGGTGGCTGTTATAACCTGTACGTGTAGTGAGGTGATGGCTGTTATAACCTGTACGTGTAGTGAGGCGGTGGTGGCTGTTATAACCTGTACGTGTAGTGAGGTGGTGGCTGTTATAACCTGTACGTGTAGTGAGGTGGTGGCTGTTATAACCTGTAGGTGTAGTGAGGTGGTGGCTGTTATAACCTGTACGTGTAGTGAGGTGGTGGCTGTTATAACCTGTACGTGTAGTGAGGTGATGGCTGTTATAACCTGTACGTGTAGTGAGGTGGTGGCTGTTATAACCTGTACGTGTAGTGAGGTGGTGGCTGTTATAACCTGTACGTGTAGTGAGGTGGTGGCTGTTATAACCTGTACGTGTTGTGAGGTGGTGGCTGTTATAACCTGTACGTGTAGTGAGGTGGTGGCTGTTATAACCTGTAGGTGTAGTGAGGTGGTGGCTGCCATAACCTGTACGTATAGTGAGGGTGGTGGCTGTTATAACCTGTAGGTGTGGTGAGGTGGTGGCTGCCCATGGCTCCTGTACGTATGGTAAGGTGGTGGCTGTTATAACCTGTACGTGTAGTGAGGTGGTGGCTGTTATAACCTGTAGGTGGTTTCAGCGGAAAACCGGGTTCGATTCACCACATGGGTGCAATGTGTGAAGCCCATTTATGGTCCCCCACCCCACCACCCCGCCATGATATTGCTGGAATATTGCTGAAAGCGGCGTAAAACTAACCTCGCTCTATCGGTATGGGAGGTTGCAGCCCATATCATTACACCTGTGCTATTCAGATCAGTGAGAATGAAGCCGTGAGCTGGTCGTCTCGGGTGAATCGTCTGCAGCGCGTAGACAGTTCCTCGCAGACTGGGCTGAAATCCTACACAATCCCGGTATTGGTGTCGCTACAGAGTTGTACCTGATGAGCATATCACGTGTGTGACGAACCCGCATGAACCTGTCCTGCGCTGCAGGTGTGACACGTAGTCGACTAGGTTTGGGGAGGTCACGTGTTGTGACCACTGCGACTGATATGGGTTTCATGATCTTGTAATGGTGCTTGGTTGTACCTGAAAAACCCGTGGTACAGCCGAACCCGAGTCGGTTGTGGCTTTAATTAAGCTTCTGTATGTTGTGGCATGTTTTCCTTTTCACTTCCTGTACACTCATGACGATAAACAAATGTAAAACATCGTTCATGTTGCACGTTCCTTTCACACTTTGCGTTTCCATCACTGTTTCGGTATTTTTGCCCGGATTTTATTCTGCACAAATCACTGGTGATGCATGCAGACATTTATATTCGGTATCCATTTTTGGATTAGCAAAACTATTAGCAAAACTTCATCAGATATTTCCAATTTCACGTATTTGTTTGTAGAGTGTATTTTCGTTGAGGGACAAAGGAAACCCATAGTATTCCACACAGGAGCTTTGAATTAGTACCTGGAAATTACTTCCATTATTGGGGAAGACATTCATAATAGAATGTGCTTTTACTTCTGGGGGATTTAGCACTCTTGTTTCTGCTTTCAGCTTCTCAGACATCATTATTTTGACTTGTTGTATGGAAATAAAATACCTTCTTCACAGAAGGTATGAAAATGCTGTTCATTCACCGGTGAGTATGACAATATTTATGATTTCCCTTGGGATCGAACTAAAACACGCGAGAACACAATTTTGAACAAGTCACGCGACAGTAACCACGTGACTAGACCCGTCATGTGATCGGTCGATTTCAAAATGGCGACCACCACTGCTGTTGTTGGCTTGTTGTGTTTGTTTCCTGTACTTACTCTGATCGAATGTAGGTACGAGCCGACCTGGCAGTCCATAGACTCGAGACCCCTGCCAAGCTGGTATGACGAGAGTAAGATTGGCATCTTCATTCACTGGGGCGTGTTTTCTGTGCCCAGTTATGTGGACGAGTGGTTCTGGTATTATTGGAAGGGACCCACTCCAGTGAAGAGCGTCGTCAAATTTATGGAAGAAAACTACCGTCCTGGTTTCACGTATGCAGACTTTGCGCCACAGTTCACCGCTGAGTTCTTCAGCCCCTACAAATGGGCAGACATCTTCCAGGCGTCAGGGCCCGGTAACGTATTTCACCGCCCCATCACCAGTTACCGTGTGACCCTCTTTAGCTGTTACTGCGGTTGTTACTGTTGGTGTTATTGATATGGGCATTGTTGACGCCAACAAACATTTGGCGTTTTATGCATATTTTCTGGTAACTGACGTTTAATATTTCAGTTGTAAAGTAATCTGGCATACTCGCTAAACGTTCAGTACGAACGCAGCGAACCTGGTTACCCCGTTTGACCCGGAAATTGAGCCTTGACTCTCCATAACGCAGCCCAGCTAATTTTCGACTATGGCAGGCCAAACAGGCATAAAACAGTTACATCTTACATTTACCACTCCTACCATTCTTATGACAATTAAAAAATATTATAGTGCATATATTTTTTTTTTGGTAAAATTATTTTCGAATATCACCATTGTAAGATCCGCAAACTATTGTAAAATTTCTGTCATCACACTAATGTAAGATTTCTGTCATCACACTATTGTAAAAATAATCACACTGTTGTAAGATCCGCCACACTATTGTAAAATTTCTGTCATCAAACTAATGTAAGATTTCTGTCATCACACTATTGTAAAATTTCTGTCATCACACTATTGTAAAATTTCTGTCATCACACTATTGTAAGATCCACCACACTATTGTCTACGATCACCACACTATTGTAAAATTTCTGTCATTACACTAAATGTAAGATTTCTGTCATCACATTATTGTAAATTTCTGTCATCACACTATTGTAAAATTTCTGTCATCACACTATTGTAAGTTCATCACACTATTGTAAGATCCCACACTATTGTACTCACCACACCATTGTCAAAATTTCGATCATCCACACTATTGTAAGATTTCTGTCATCACACTAATGTAAAATTTCTGTCATCACACTATTGTAAGAATTTCAGTCATCACACTATTGTAAGTTCATCACACTATTGTAAGATCACCACACTATTAATGCGATCACCACACTATTGTAAAATTCTGTCATCACACTAATGTAAGATTTCTGTCATCACACTAAATGTAAGACTTCTGTCAATGTGAGAAAACCTGAACTTGGATGGCTGGAGTTTGCATGAAGAAGGAAGAAAGGCAACAGTAGGAGATTAAATGAAATTGCACCTTATTTCTAGGGCTGAAATACATGTCTTGTCTTCTACATCCCTGCCTACCAATATTTCATATGTTGAGGGACATGCGAAGTCTTGTTGATGCTGCAGACAACAGTTTCAGTAGGGTACCAAATCAGTTCATGTGGTTTGAGGAGTACCTCTATAACCATGGCAACCAATTGACTTGTTTCAGTTATATGTGGTGTTTGTGAGGCAAACATCATGAAGGCTTCACCAACTGGCCATCAAAGGCATCCTTCAACTGGAACTTCGATGGATGTTGGCCCCGGCCAGCGGGACATAGTGGGTAAGTCTACAGAGCTGCCCTGACTCATGTCAAGATATAGTCCCAATTGTGGGAGGTTGATTGCTGCTTAGTTGGAGCCCCACACAGACACTATCAGCCCGAGCCTGACCGCCCGATGGCGTTAGTTGCCTCTTCTACGACAAGCATGGATTACTGAAGACCAGTTTTTGACCCAGATCTTCACAGCTATGAACATGAATGAAGAGAAATGAATAAAGTAGATTAGTTTGTGTATGCCACAAATGTATGCTGTACTCATATCTTAATCATTTTATCATTCAATGGTGAAGTTAAGTATAATTTCAGTGTTAGTTTTTTGAAAGAATGCTTCATGTATGCATTATGTTGTTTTGCAAATTATAATGTTAGTATATGAACTCTTCACATACACATAACCTGTGTCACTGGTTTGTGCTTTCGCTCACATTCTGTGTTCATTCACCAATTGAGTAGATTGATGCTCTTGCTGTTGATCAGTTGGATCGTCTGGTCCAGACTTCGATTATTTACAGACCGCGCGCGATATAGCTGGAATATTGCTGGAGTGCAGCGTTAAACAGCAACAAACTAGCCAGCCAGCGCAGCTGCTTTTAGCTGTGGGGGTTGGTGGGGTACAATGCATGGACCCCATTACTGCTGAAAGTGGCGATAAAACTAAATTACGTTCACTCCACTGCTTTCAGGGAGCTAACTACAGCTATCCGCCTTGGCAACACCGACTTACGGATGGTAAATCATATCTTCGCTGTTTGAGTGGTTCAATCCTCTCTTCAATGCAGATAAAGCCAACAAGTTCAAGGCCGCCAGGACTTTATCCGCGGTAAGTTGTTATTTTGTCTTATCCTGACTCGCGATCTTTTACGCTTATCTCCCCGCTTCCCTTTCGAGATGGTAGTGGAACACTTGAATCCCTTAAAGTTCCCGAAGTGGGCGGTAAAGAAATACACTCACCACACGGTTATCTCCCGTTTGCCCTTTTCCCCGCCAAACTTGAAGAATTACATATTTAAAAAAATCACAAAAAACTTTCAATATCTTCGATGTTTTTGTATAATCACACTGGAACACCAGGTGGAGCTATGTTTGTATAATACACTGGAACACCAGGTGGAGCTATGTTTGTATAATACACTGGAACACCAGGTGGAGCTATGTTTGTATAATACACTGGAACACCAGGTGGAGCTATGTTTGTAATACATAACACCAGGTGGAGCTATGTTTGTATAATACACTGGAACACCAGGTGGAGCTATGTTTGTATAATACACTTTCTGAACACCAGGTGGAGCTATGTTTGTATAATACACTGGAACACCAGGTGGAGCTATGTTTGTATAATACACTCAACACCAGGTGGAGCTTATGTTTGTATAATACACTGGAACACCAGGTGGAGCTTATGTTTGTATAATACACTGTAACACCAGGTGGGAGCTATGTTTGCACATAATTACACTGAACACCAGGTGGAGCTATGTTTGTATAATACACTGGAACACCAGGTGGAGCTATGTTTGCACAATACACTGGAAACACCAGGTGGAGCTATGTTTGTATAATACACTCGAACAACCAGGTGGAGCTATGTTTGTATAATACACTGGAACACCAGGTGGAGCTATGTTTGTATAATACACTCAACACCAGGTGGAGCTTGGCGTTTGTATAATACACACTGGAACACCAGGTGAGCTATGTTTGTATAATACACTGGAACACCAGGTGGAGCTATGTTTAAATAATACACTTTCGAACACCAGGTGGAGCTTTGTTTGTATAATACACACCACATGAACACCAGGTGGAGCTATGTTTGTATAATACACTCTAACACCAGGTGGAGCTATGTTGTATAATACACTGGAACACCAGGTGGAGCCATGTTTGTATAATACACCGGAACACCAGGTGGAGCTATGTTTGTATAATACACTGGAACACCAGGTGGAGCTATGTTTGTATAATCACACTCGAACACCAGGTGGGAGCCAATGTTTGCATAATACACTGGAACACCAGGTGGAGCTATGCTTTATTAATAACACACTGGAACACCAGGTGGAGCTATGTTTGGACCTATTCACCAGTGTACCTTGGGAAGAAGCCCTTCAAAGCGCTATGCCACAGAATTGACCAGCCTCAACAGTCCCTCAGCACTAGCCTCTCTACGACTCTATCATCCAGCCTCACCACTGCCTGCATAAGCTCCACCTACTTCCGCATTAGGCGTGCCATCTATGGAGCAAATCCAGCGGACTTCCCATGGGCTCCCCACTATCCCCATCCTAACAGAAATTTGCATGACTGACCTGGAAGAGATGGGCCCTAGAAACTGCACCCTTCAAACCCTCCTGCTGGGTACCTTTGCAAAGTTGATGATACCTTAGGTCATCCCTCCAACCTCAGCAAGATCAAAACGGCTTCTGCGCCCATCTCAACAACCAACATCCCATCATCCTGAATTCACCCATTTGGAGCAGAGCAGAACAGCCAACTACCTTTTCTTGATGTCGCTTTACATCCCGCTGCCTCCCTTGCAACCAACTCCAGATCTCCGTGTGGCAGAAAACCTACTCCATCACCGGATCAATGCATCCACTACAACTCAACCACCCCCTAAAGTCAAGACCGGCGTCATCTCTACATTGACCAGAAGAGCCAAAACATCTGCTCAACAAACCACCACAGAAGAAATTGAACACCTAAGGGAATGTCTTTGTGCAGCGCATAGCACTACCCACCTGAAATAGTCAACCAGAACCATCGAGCTATCGCTTTCACCTCCTGCCAAAGATCCTAAACCAGAATCAGCCCCCATCAAGATATCCATTTCCCTACATGCGGTAAAACCATCACATCAAATCCAGCCCGACTCCTGAAACAACAGGCGGGCATAGACACAACCTTCTCCAGCAATCCTCCAGCCTCAACAACCTCCTCCACGTTAGCGAGGAAGAAAACAACCCACCGTCCAACAACAACAGCAGCGAAATGTATTTATTTATGGAAATGAAGCTGTGAGTTATTTGGACAGACCACCATCGGTTACGAACATCCGACCCTATCAACACCGAGGTCAAAAGAACAGCGCTTACTCTGGCTGCTGCTTTCAGACACCAAATCAGCTATCTCTGCCCCGCATCCGAAGCAAACCCCAATCCGCGAATAGAATTGGTCCGGGCTTCCCCGCCATTCATAGCTTTAAACACAACCGAACAGACTTCACTAAGCGCCAAGCTCACGGAAGCCAAATTTCATCAAGCGCCATAAACCCCGCCATCAACTGCTTGATGCAGGGGCCGCTGATTTTCAAATAAGCTTATGATCCACTCCTCCGCCAAGCCCAATCTATTGTATCAAACGCCAGCACCTATTGTATAAACTTCCCCTTCTTGTTGAAACACCCACTCCTGTATTTGCCCATCTCTGGCTTCCGTTCGCTATCCTTTATTGTACTCCATACGAAGCTACATCAGCTAACTTCTCCAACCGGTGTTATGGCAATTATATTTGCTTTCGCTGTCCAATTACAATGTAATAGTTTCGTTGTTATACACGAGTGGCGATAATACGGCTCCTCCCACTTCGTAGTATCACTCTCTTGCCCGGCAAAGCGATTTTTTAAGGATCTGTATCGAAACGTCGCCTCCACGAGAGAATAAAGTTGTTATCGCGAAACTTGTTCCCGTATTGTTAGCAGATCTGTACGTTATTTTTAATACGCCGGGTGGAGCTATGTTTGTATAATACACTGGAACACCAGGTGGAGCTATGTTTGTATAATACACTTTCGAACACCAGGTGGAGCTATGTTTGTATAATACACTGGAACACCAGGTGGAGCTATGTTTGTATAATACACTTTCGAACACCAGGTGGAGCTATGTTTGTTTGGCCGGAAGCTGTACAATGACAGGTGGAGTTCTACACAGTTCTTGTCTGTACAATGACAGGTGAGCTGTACAATTCTTGACCTGGCTGTACAATGATACACCGCATGATTCTTGGCCTGGCTGTACAATGACAGGTGGAGTTCCCACACAGTTCTTGGCCTGGCTGTACAATGACAGGTGAGTTCTACACAGCTCTTGGCTTATAAGCTGTACCAATGACAGGTGAGTTCTACACAGTTCTTGGCCTGGCTGTACAATGACAGGTGAGTTCTACAGTTCTTGGCCTGGCTGTACAGACTGACGCGCCAGTTCTTGGCCTGGCTGTACAATGACAGGTGAGTTCCGCAGTTCTTAGCCTGGCTGTACAATGATAGGTGAGCTCCATGCAGTTCTTGTCCTAAGCTGTACAATGACGGGTGAGTTCTACACAGTTCTTGGCCTAGCTGTACAGCTGACAGGTGGAGTTCTACGCAGTTCTTGGCCTGGCTGTACTGTGACAGGTGAGTTTACACAGTTCTTGGCCTGGCTGTACAATGACAGTGAGGTCCACGTGGTTCTTGGCCAGGCTGTACAATGACAGGTGAGTTCCATGCAGTTCTTGGCCAGGCATTACAATGACAGGTGAGTTCCACACAGTTCTTGTCCTGTTACAATGACAGGTGAGCTCTACACAGTTCTTGTCTGTACAATGACAGGTGAGTTCTACACAGTTCTTGGCCTGGCTGTACAATGTGGAGTGAGTTCTGCACAGTTCTTGGCCTGGCTGTACAATGACAGAGTGAGTTCCACAGTTCTTGGCCTGGCTGTACAATGACAGGTGAGAGTTCCACACAGTTCTTGGCCTGGCTGTGCAATGACAGAGTGAGTTCTACACAGTTCTTGGCCTGACTGTACAATGACAGATTGACCCTACACAGTTCTTGTCTGTGCAATGACAGGTGAGCTCTACCCAGTTCTTGTCTGTACAATGACAGGTGAGCTCTACACAGTTCTTGTTGTACAATGACAGGTGAGTTCTACACAGTTCTTGTCTGTACAATGACAGGTGAGCTCTACACAGTTCTTGTCTGTACAATGACAGGTGAGCTCTACACAGTTCTTGTCTAATGCAATGACAGTGGGCTCTA